TCTGAGAACATAATCAGTATGTTAATTGTATTTGTTTATTATTTAAGTTCCAAGGTAACAAAGCAAAGATCTTCATACTACTGCTGTTAGACCTGTATTTTCAAGGCAGGTGAAACTGTATATAAAGTGCTCTACCACTTTTTTCTTTTTTCTTTTTTCATTAAGTCACTTTTCCTGTAACATCGTGAAAATTGCCTTTTAAATAGTGCTAGTTTAGGACTTGAAAATGTTCACTAATTTAGTCTAAGTCTCTAGTTGCATTTTATTATATAAAAATACCGTATGTTATCTGGAAAACTAATTTGTACGAGCTGTAAAATATTAATTAAAATTTATTTTGGAATCAAGTGGAATACAGAATAGYTATTAGTTTTTGGGGTTTTTTTGATGATCCGAAAACTTCTACTTGTAATTATTTTGTTGAGTTGTGAAATAAAAGATTTGAAATAGAAATAAGTCCATCACTTAGCTTTTGTTGAGAAAAATATCGAGACCCAAGCCTTCCTTCCATCAGACAGAGTGAGCAGATAACTTAGTGGCAGTGGAGGTCTGCACGACTTAAAGACAATTAATCATAGTTAAGCACATTCATCTTGCTTCTTTCTAGCTAACCAGCATAATGATCAGGATTATTATTTCTAATTAGAGGAAGTAATAGATCATGTATAACCTTAGGATGAGTCTCATTAATTAACCTGCGTCCTAAGGGATTTCAGTAGGTATTCCATCTCTGTCACAAWGAGCACCATTGGTTTACACTTAGTTCACAGGAACAAACATCATGGGAATTGGCTAAATAACTAAAATTGATTAAAACAGTAGGTAAAAATTAAATATATGACAAACTTCATTGTATTCTGCAATTTGATGTATGTTTCAACATACAGCATTTTACTGCACCAGGTGATATTGAGCTGGCTTTATTCTAAGCTTAATACCACTGAGTTTGTGGAGTTTGACTTTACTTTTTAKATGCATTAGAACAGATTTGATTCTATTTTTTGTGAAATCATGAATGGAGTTGACATGCTAGTGCCTAACATTTCCTACTAAAAGAAAAGAGCTTTAGATGCCTGTAGGATTATATGGTTATGTCTATAGTATGCCTGTAAAACTCCTTATATGATGTTTCTCAGGTTCTGCCATAAATTACTTTATGAAATCTTCAGATTTTGTTATTTCAGGAATTATGAATAAATATTTAGAGTGAGGCCTTTCAGTGTAAGGTTTTGAAACACAGTTGATCTAAGCTTCATCTCTGAAGCTGTTAGTGCATGACTTTGGAGATGTTGACTTTGAACTCTTCATATACTTTCAAACATTCTAAAAGTGATACATGTCTAAAAGGGGTGCTTTTAAATATGAATAGTCTAGTTGCATGGTTTAMAAACTGGTATTAGAGATCATCTGATGTAATTTTTGTGTGTTCAAGTCTATGGAGTAAAGGCTACGAACACACGGATCTCAGTGTATCTGAAAATGCAGGCTAAAACTGTTACTTAAAATGAAGTTGTTAGTTTGTAAAGCTTAATATTACTGTGAGGTTGTAAAAATTTCCATACACAAAAGAATTTTTAAAACATAATGATAGAAGTCATTGCTTCCTTCCTTMTCCTAAACAATATTTTCCTCAGACTTGCTCCTCTTCTATATGATTTCTCCTCTTCCTTTTAAAATTTTTCAGCTTTCTCAGGTGTTCAAAGGAACTCCTTGATGTTATGGTTACCACATTTTAAAATGTGATTTCATATCATATAAAATATTGCAGGTAATTACTGCCATAATTTAAAAAACAAAATCTTTGAAGTTCAGTATTCCATATTTGACCTTCATAGTGCATAATGTCACGTCATTTCTCACTCCAAAATACAGTTTRTATTAACCTTTTTTCCCTAGGAAGTTACTGTCAGAAGAAGGAAAGCATTGTTTGCTCTAATGATGTGTATACATAGATATATTTATATATACAAATATATATATTTATATATTATATATTTATATATATATATTAATATACATATATTTATATATGTATAGAGAGAGAGAGAGAGAGGTAGGTTATATGTGCAACACAGCTGTAAAACAGAAATCACCAAAAAAAAGGTCACTTGCAATTTCTGGCAAATTAATGAAGTGAGGATTATTGCAAATTATGGTATTGCTTCCAGTTGGATTACAAAGCATAACATAGAGTTTGCATTAAGCTTTTTGTTTTCTGTCTACTATAGGAAAAAATGAATGCAACACACAGCATTAATGAGTGGCTGTGTTATTCCCTTCTTTTAGATCACTCCAGTTCCAGGCACTCATCCACTTTTAGTTTTTGTCAATCCTAAAAGTGGTGGGAAACAAGGAGAAAGGTAAGGTATTTTTTCTTTTTTTCCTCCCTTTCTTGATTCTGGTCTGTGATGTATTTAAAAATAGATTTTAGAAGTTTGTACATGAGGAAAAAAATCCAAAATTTTATATTGCTAATTCTCACAGCTGAACATCCTATATTCCTGTACCTATAAATTCTSCAGTTAAAAACTAGAGTTAGTTGCATAGAATAGTTCTGTTTCAAATCAAAGWGTAGCGATATTCAGTGCATGGGTTTGTGTGATTTGCATGAAGATGTGAGTTGCTTTATCTTGTATTAAAACTTTGAAGTGCTAACAGTTTTCTTTTAATCTATGTAATGACTATACAGACAGCCAGTAGTTTAAATTAGAAGCAGTATTCCATTTTCTAATGTATGATTTGCTTTTTAAAGAGTTAGTAGTAGAGGCTCTCAAGCCTCTTCATAAGATTTCCTTCAAAGAAATCTTTTGATTTCTGCAGATAGTAAGTATTCTAAAAATCCATTTAAAGCATTGAAGTTCACTCACCCAAACTTAAAAGACATTAATTTTACATATGTCAGTATGTCCGTAATTACATTGGCTTAAAGTGAAAATGACTGTGTTTATTAGTTTAAGTGTTAACGTATCAGAGATAAAGTAGAAGTAAAGAACATTCTTCTCCTACCCAGTCTGTCGTATTCAGGAATGCTCAATTAGTTACCCCTAAAGAGTCTTTTCAGAGCACGTTTCAGAATCACAAATGCTAACAATATGGCCATTTTTATCATCACATAAATGCCTGCATTTTTATAGCCTGTTTACCATGYCAGCACTGTAACTTCTCTTTCAAGTCTTGAAAAAGATTCCAGTCTTTTGGCCAGGATCCAGCTGAAGGTGATACTGGTGATGTGGGTAATCAGAAGCACAAAAGGAGGGATCCATTGTGATTCTAAAGCTTGGAACTAAACAAACTATAAATGGGTCAGCTTTCCCTCCCTCCTCTGCACTGCCTCCCTTACATCATATCTTCCTGTGCCCCTAAAAATAAACTCTCAAATGGGACAAAATTCTGCATAGTAGTTGTTAGGGTAATTCTTAGAGCTGAGGGGCATTTAACTAAAACTGTATTTGAAGGCCTCTGAGAGCTGATTATGTAATCCCTGCACTGGTATACCTAGATCTTTGCTAGGTGTGTCAAAGACAGTTAATGATGTGAAAGATTAATTCTAAACAGTCTCTCAGTTTGCCTTTGCAATTGGAACGAAACAGCGTGAGCCATCCTGAGTTTTCATGTTTCAGCCACATTGGGAGTGTGAGGTAGCTCTGGTCTGATGTGCAGTCAGGCGTCTTGTGGAAGGTAATCTGCACCAGCACTCATCTTGACTTTTTTATGGTACTGATATGAAGTGAGTAGATCAGGGATCCAGTCTGTAATTATGTAGGTGAGCGGCAGGTTAGAGAGCTGCACTTATATAGTTATAGCCTAGAAACAATTTAATGAAATGCTGTTTCACAGCTTTCMGTTCCCAGCTCTAATTGGTCTCAAGTGTTACAATCTGAATGGGCTTAATGCATTAGGGATGTAATTTAATGTTAGATATTCTCCAGGGTAAAAGCAAGTCTAAAATCTGATCCCCATCTCAAGCTCCTATTCCCCTTCATGTATTACRGTATAACACTTCTAAGTTTATGTCAATGAAACTGTCACTGAGGCCGAACAGATCACAGGAATTATTAGAATTTTAAAAATGAATGCCCTATACACACCTCATTCACTAGCACCATTATCCACAAGTGTCATTACACAATTAAGAATATAGTGTGAGGGCAGGCACCAACAACTGACTACAGTGAAGTCTTAAGAACCTCTTAAATTGCCTTTGATACCACACACACACAAAATGTTAAATTGCATACTAATGTGTCATGGTGACACTCAAAATTGCTGTTTTAAGAGAAGCACATCAAAAGGTCAGCTGCATAATCCTGTAAACATGTCTCAGGTAATTCACTGTCAGGAGATAATATCTCATGATAATATCTCATGAAGCCAGATTCAGCAAAGTAAAAAAAAATCCATATATGGACTGTTAAATATAAAATAAGGGTGTTAGGGAGTGCGTGTTAGTTTAAATATTCTGAGAATGAAAATATTCTCAGGAGAAATGATAGTGGACTTTTCTTATTTTTGTTTGGGTTTTTTTTTGTTTTGTTTGTTTTTGGTTTCTTTGGGGTTTTTTTGTTTTTGTTTTTGGTTTTGTTTTTGGGGTGTTTTTTTTTGTTTGTTTGTTTTTTGGTTTTTTTTCCTGGGTTTTATCTGTCTGCTTTACAGTCAGTAACCAGAAAGAGAAAATTCTTTTTTTTTTTTTTTCCTGGGTTTTATCTGTCTGCTTTACAGTCAGTAACCAGAAAGAGAAAATTCCCATATATTCGCATCTTCCAGTTTTGTGGCAGTTTTGTGTTGCAGAAAGTAAAGGTACAGAACATTTCAAGACATAAATTACTTGGCAAAATGCACCATTATGGTGATTCATAGCTTATTCTGGGTTGAAAGAGACACACAAGGATCRTCAAATCCAACTCTTAAGTTAAAGGTATTCAAGTCAGGCTTTTTGGTTATAGCAATTTTTTAGTCTGGTCAGGCACTGAGAGGGTGGGACTAGAGGGTATGCTATAACAGACGTGAGATTTCCACAGCAGTGAGGGAGAAAAAAAGAAAGCAAAACAAACTCACAACCTTCTAATTTTTGTAGATTAGAATTTCATTATCTTGAKTCATCCAGATTGGGAAAATCTTTTACTGRAAACTATTTCWCTTTACTATTWAGTTAGGWTCCTATTTACTTAGGATTCTCTGTWTTTASAGGTCATGATGAATGAAATTAAGATTTTTTTATTGACTTTCATTGAACACAGAAAGGTTATTGTCGATTGTCAAGACTCCAATGTTCCCACAGTTCCCCATATGAGATTTTTTGCCTTACCATATGTTAACCCAGCCCATTTTATTGCCCTTATTCTTGGAGAGTTTATGCATCCAGCTGAAAACCAGTTGAACAAATGCACACCCCCAGTAATACACTGTTGTTTCCTTTTGTATTTTGTAATTTTTTTTTTTCAAATCTCTCAAATGCAAAAGAAAAGAACTGAGGATTGCTTAAAGGTAAAAAAAAAGTTTGGTGCTTTAGTTTCAGTTTTTAAATGTTCAGGCTGAGGGGGGGTGGGAAACAAATGGATATGTAGGAAAACGCAAAATACATTCTCTACAACCATATCTTATCAATGTATTTTAAAACTTCCTTGTGCTAGAAATTTACTTTTTCAGAATGTGTAGTGATAAATAGCATGTACTTCCTGAACAGGTTTCTGTTTTAAAGACCAATGTTATGGCTTTCAGATAKAGTTGCAATATAAAGTATTATGACAATCACCCAATTATATTTTATTCTCAATTAAGAGGTTAATAMTTCCCCATCATGTGAAACTCAACTGTATTTGCACTTGAATGATTTTGTTTAATACACAATACATATGTTTACAGTCGAACAAAAAGATGTCAATGTCTATTAAGAAGAAAGAAAAATAGAATTAAAGTTGATTAATTTAAGGCTTTCGCATACAATAAATTGATTTTAACTGAGCATGAGTAGGAGTTCATCAAACTCAGGCAAGTGAATTCCTCAGACTTATCACACGGTAACATGTTTTTGGTGGTTGTGCATGAAATGGAGAGGTGCAGGTAATTTCCAAAAAAAATGCAGGACATCCGTTTCATTGTAGCGCTTTTAGTTTGGGAAGCCTGCATTTATGATCTGACTAATCAAGGCAATAATTGTCAATAATCTGTGAATAGAATGTATATATTTAGTATACCATTGAGAAACTAGTTTATTTCAACAGAAAGAATATACAACGAGCATGTAGTGCTTCGAAAGGCTATTATTAAGGGTAATGTTTCTCACATAAGAGTCATTCTAAATCATGCTGTTGTTTTGCCACACTCATTACTTTGATTTCCACTTCCCCATTTTCCAGTTTATTTGCCTGACCAGCAGGTGAGTTTACACAATTGTTTCCTTGACAAATGTGCTGTTGGATGCACTGGAGATCAGCTTCCGTACACTGACGTTTCCTGCTGACTCCACGTTCAGTGTCTGCAATACAGGTTGATGATATTTTTAACCTTTGCTGTTTTCAAATAACTTTGGTTCATAGTGGCTCTTCCCTYCTCACCTCTGATTAATCTGGCTTTCTGAGCTTTCATTTAGCATTGAGACAAAAATGAAAAAGCAGTTTCAAATTACCTTTTWCAGACATTACATGTCTGGGAGAGAAGATCCACCAGCATTTTTTGATTTTGGGAAGCAGTCCTTGGCATCTTCCTTGTCAGACATTAGGGTTAAATTAAGCCTATACTAATTACATCTTGAATAGCCCCTAGATGACTGAAGATGCATCCCTCAGTTGTGGCAGAAGGCTTTGCCATGTCCAGCTCTTTCCACAGTACAGTCAACTTTATTGCCAGTTTAAATTGCCACCGAGTTTCTGTCCATTTTTTTTCTCTCTCCTGAAGAAGACAGCTCAGTCTAAGTCAGACCAAGGTRCATTCACACACATTTTCTTTAGCAGCTGAACTATTTAAAGATGATGCCAGCTCCTTTGGCCACTCCTGAGTTAATTTTCTGCCTCCTCAATCATGCTAGCAAAATATTTTGAGGTTTATATGAGATCATGGGCATGATTTAAGGCAAAGGAAAAATGACAATGAAGAAACTTCTTTGTAGATTTGTATTTTAAATTGAATCTCTTTAGTTTTCCAGATCACAGAATAACCCTGAAAATAGTTACAGAAGTAAAACTATTTGTTGACAAGTGGTRATTTCATAAGCTGGTTTTGTTCATGAAATTTCATTCCGTCACAAAAATGTCTTTTGAGGCATTTCYCACCACACCACCTCATGGCCTTGTCAGCATAAATCTCAAGTCACAAGGAAACCACATCCAATTCGTTCCTTACATGTGGAAGCAAAATATTCAGAGCCCTGTCAGTGTCACTATTTGGTATTGTAGATGTAAAACTGGAATGTGAAGTTACTGTCCATTTCCTCAACTTCCATGTGTCACCCTGTTAGGTCTGGGTA